ATACAGAGCAGCGAAAAGCAATGAAAGGTTTACAAAGTAGGGAAGATTATTACATGCGGTTTCACTGTTCAATAGTGGTTGTACTTCCTAGAATTGGATCCTTTTACAGCTTGCTGTGAAAATCATTTCCTAGCACCTGAGAAATGTTTAAGGATGGGCTGGTACCTCCCCCATGGCCGCTGGATGCTAAAGACGTTTGGGACATTGAATCATTCCCGGCTCAGGAACGACCTCTTCTTTTCTCATGCTATCCTGGGCTTGCCAGGATGCAGCATTATTGCACAGTATTTGGTATTGTGCATCTCAAATTAGTGTCTCCTTGTGGAAGACAGAACGAGAGACCACTACTAATGAATCATGCTGCTCAGGCCACCCCTCATGGAGCTAGAACATTAATATTGAGGACATTCCTAAGGGTACGCCTACACAGCAGCTGGAGGTGGGATTGCCAGCTCGGGTAGACATACATGCGCCGGCTTTGATCGATGGGATTGTACTCGGGCGGCCAGCCTGAGCCACTGCCTGTGCTGCCGTGATACACTGCCAGGGGTGAAAGTAACAAAGGACTTACCGGTACGACGGAGTCCAGAGCAGGGACGTGGACTCAACCGGAAGAGGTGGGGCCTCAACTGGAAGAGGCGGGGCCTTTCAAGATTTAAAGGGCCTGGTGCTCCTGCCACTGCGGGGAGCCCCCAGCCCTTTAAAGCACCGCCGGAGCCCTGCCACTGCTGGGGTAGCGGCGGCAGGGCTCCGGCGGTGATTTAAAGGGCCTTGGGCACTATAAATCACCACTGGAGAAGCCGGTCCAGTCCGGCACGGTGTACTGGCTCTTGCCGGTACGCCGGACAGGACCGGCTTACTTTCACCTCTGTACACTGCTATTTTTAGCATGCCAGCTCAATCAACTAGTGCCCATCCATCTATGGCACAGGACAGGACACCTTCCACTGCAGTGCGAATGTGCCCTACCTGGGTAATCTCCTAGTTTTCTATCACTGGAATTTACTGAGCTCTAATTCGAATGAATTCCTTGGGTGTTGCGATATATTTTACAACATTGGATATGTCTCTGGGCGCTCCTATCTGATAGACACAAAGCTGAAGAACGTAAACTCCTAACGGGGGGAGTGGAAAACACCATCAGACTTTGGGATCTTAACCCCCCCTTTTGGGGGGGGCACATGGGTCCTTCTCTAATGGATCTGAACACCCACAAACTTTGTAGCCTGGATCTCATGAGGAGGAGAGAAACGTGGGGTTAAAAAATGCAGCGAAGCTGGGACAGCAAGGAGAGGAGCCTTATTTTCATTGAAAGACAATGGGAGTGGGTTTCCTAATGAGTTAGGCTATTAAGTCCCATTAGGAACTTAGGAAGTATATTAGTCCCATTTTACCAATTGGGAACTGAGGCACAGAGAAATCCAGGGCAAACTTTTCCAATCTCATAGGGGCGTTGCGAGGATAAAAACCATTAATAATCCATCCATTACTCAGGTAATATGGGAATGGGGGTTATAGAAGAACATATACAGATAGAAAGGAACAGTCACATCTTAGAAGCAGCAGAGACCAGCAGCAAAGTAATTACAGGTGTGAATCCTTCTTTTTAAAGTATAAGCTGTTCCTTGCATGGAGCACAGACTGAAAACGTTTATTTTAAGGAAAATATTGCCTGCTCACACTGCTTAGATCAGAGCCAGCTCCAATAGCCCTAATCAGTTTCGCAAACACCAGGAATTCACACACAAACGTATCCCCCAATTTAAAACATGCATATGGGTCAGAATCAGGAATTTTAAAACCCAATATTAAAATTATTTTAAGACCATTAGGAGGGGGAAACTCTTATTTTTGAAAGGAGCCCAATATATGTTAAATCATATTCAATTATCACTGCTAGGCCCAAACCACGAGGTAGGGACTCAGATATACTCCGTTCCATGTATCAATTTATGATTTACTTTTGTAATAACTGAAGCCATAAGGAACTCATTGGATTAAGCTTTATTATTTACGTTGTTGAACAATAATATTTAACTGTATAAAGCCATATATCCACCCTTGCAAATGTTCTCCCCATATGAAACGGATTGCACATTATTGAAATCCTGGCCCCACTGAAGTCAATGGGAATTTTGCCATCAACTTCAATGGGGCCCGGATTTCACTCTCTATGATTTGGTTCAAGGTTGTTAAAAATCTTCAATATTGTCACAATAGCAGAGACAGACGCCAGAGATAAAGATAGAAACGGATACGCCAAAGGCATTCCCACAACACACCGTATGATCAGAAATAAATCCAATTAGTCATGTGTTTGAAGCCCTAAAAAGACTGGCTGACATTTTGATTGTAGCCTAAGGGAGTTAGACACCCAACTATCATATACCAGTACTCATCGGCTCCTGTGAAAATCCCAATTTAGATGAACACGCTATTGCGGAACTACAAGAGCAGCAACCAGATTCCAGCTTTACTCTGGTGATAACATAAAGCCGAGTGTCCCTTATCTCCCATCACCAAGCGTGAAAATCACCAATCAGGGTGCACCAAAGCCAGGAATCCCACAAACCAGTCACTGTGGGCACTAGCCTGGGACTCGGGAGACCAGCGCTCAAATCCGGCCTTTTCCACAGCGTTCCTGTCTGGCCTCCAGCATCCCCCTCTCTGTGCCTCAGTTCCCCATCTGTAAATTGGGATATTAATACCTCCTTTCTCCCTGCCTTGTCTAGTTAGACAGTTTCCTCAGAATACACACAGTCAGGATCTTGTTCAGGGGCTCTAGTAGAAAGACTCACTGACCCCTCTCTCCCATTCCCCACTGGACCCCATTACGTTTTCTCCATCTCTTGTTTTTCCAGTATGGCCATTTCCCAAGTATCTGACTTTCTGGACTGTATGCTTTTCAGGTCAGGGACAGTGTATTTTTGCGAACTGTAGAGTGCTGAGTGCACCGTTAGGATTAAACAGAGCAATAGGGCACGTGATGTGGAGTTTCCAGAATTATGCTCTGCACAAGACCTTCTTGGGTGGATTATCTACTGATCTGTAATCCCCTAACTACCTGCTGCTGAGAGGAGACAGTTAAAGAGGAGGTACTCCCTTCTCTGAGCTATTCCTGACTCAGACAATCAGGGGAATCACATACGGCCCCCGTGTATTTAAAATGGGATTTAGACTTATGGAGGAATCTTCATAGTCTTAGCCTCCAATCACCCCACATTGAGCTCTGTTAGAATTGATGTCTCCCAGTGCTCTACATGGGGGAAAAAAGCCAGACTATTGCAGCAGCACAAAAATTTCTTGGCAAGAACATAAAATAGGACAGCTGGGATCTGAGTGCCGGGCCTCCCTCTTTGATCATTCCTTGCTGAAACTGAATTGCGACTTTTTGTTTGTTTGTTTTTTGCACGGCCACTTACTCAGCCAGTTCCTCCAAGCTCCGATAGACATCATCATCGTTCTCTGTGGTCTCCTCTGAAGGGAAGGGTCTGGAAGAGAGGAGAGAAAATGTGTTATTGGTAATGCTGACCTCTGCACATACAATCATCATCTGCTGTAGCCCATGAGAAATCAGATCAGCACATTAGGTAAACGAGGGGCTGCTTTGGAACAAAAATATCCATCGGTATTACACTTATTTGTATTACACCTATCCAGCCCCATGGGCATCAGCTTCTGAGAAGACCTCTTCTCGGTTTTCAGCTCGGGCTCAGGGTTGTGGCTGCAGTAGGAAATTAGGTCATGCTAGAGCACAACGTCAGGGAGACCCGTTAACTATCGCAGCGTTAATCAGGACTCTGCAGTCAATGGAGACACGGACAAGACGTAGTTCACATTGTGGCCGCTGGCCATGGTTAGCCCTAGGGCTCCAATAGGGTTCATCCAGGACACAATGGCAGACAGGACTTGTCCCTGCCTGCGAGGGTGCAGAGTCATGTTTGACCTTGTGTTCATTTACACGACTCTGGGGTTTTGCTCTACCCTGGCCAAATTTCCTCTTGAATACGAGCCCCTGGTGCCTATGGTGGTAAGTGCATCTGTGATCACAGGGAAAGGCTTCGTGGGCCCTCTGGGTCTTGGCCGCCTTAGACTACGATTTAAAGGTATGTGGCTAGAACACGGTAGCTAGCTCACGCTAACTAATGCTCTCTAAAACAGACAAGGCAGCTCGGATTAACGTGTGCTGAGCTGGTCAAGTTGATGCCTAGGCTCCAACAAAACTAGGTGGTTGTTGTTTTTTTGGGGGGGAGGGGGGGTTGGCAGGGTGCTACCTGTACTTTCAAGGGAAGCCCCGCCCCAGACACTGGGCTTGATCCTCCATGGCCTTCCATCTCATGCCGGCATTTATACCTGACGGCAACTGGGCATTAAAGGCTAACAAATCACAACTCTCCATTCCCGGTGAGAGCATTTTTATTAGAATTATTTGTTATTTTGTGTTGCGGTAGCACCCAGGAGCCTCAGTCTTGAACCAAAACATCCCTGTGCTAGGTGCTGCACAAATGCACCTTTGTTTCTGCAAACACAATTTTACACCCACTGTGGCCTTGCTTTGCACAGCTGGAACTGACTTTAGCACAAGGTGCAGGGAACTGAAGAATCAAGCAGGGGTGGTGGAACTGGGGGTGCTGCCGCACCCCCAGCTTGAAACGGTTGCCATCATATACAGGGTTTACAGTTTTGTTCAATGGCTCTCAGCATGCCCCCTGTTCCAACGCCATTGGAATCAAGTCCAGTATCTGGGTGCCCCATCGTGCTAGAGTTACCGCACGGAATTGGTCCAGCCATAAGGGCTTCCATCTGCAATGAACAAACATGTCTTCAAGCGCAATGCTTGTGAAAAATGCTCTTATTTACTTAAACTAATAACAGTCCGATCGCTTTAAGCAGTTAAAAGCCCGGGGGGAGGGAACACCAAAAGAAAAAAGGAAGGGGCAGATTAAAAGAGCAAAGAAATAAATTCCTTGGCTATTCTGAAGCAATAATCAAATAATATATGGAGGAGATGAAAAAATACTGCTTTAATTAAACCCAATATATTATTGCTGGCACAAGCCTCAGTGGGCTAATGTGCTGGTAGGGATGGATGCCTCTAGTTACTAAGCAGTCCCTACAGAGGGCCTAGCCCATCTTCCATAGTCAACCTTGCACTTCACTCCAGATGGCCAAGCTGTGATTCCCCGGATTGCGAACACAATGACCTTTGCTCAGAGCTGCAAGCTGGCTGGCTGGAACTAAATAAAGGCAGAGGGATATCAAAGCTGATCAGTTTCCCCCTTGTCATCTATTCGTGGCACTGCTGTTAACAGAAATGATAGCAGAGGGAGTGCAGGAATTGGGGGGGGGGGGGGGGGGAAAAAAACACAAGGAAAGGAACCATGAACTGAGAGTACAAGTGGTCATGGATTCCCCATAGAACCGTCCAGCTAACTGTGAGACTGCATCTGAGGTTCATGTTGTGGGTGAGCAAAATTGGATACAGGCGAACTTTTAACCACACCCAAGTTTAATTTCCTCTTTCTCCGGTTTCAAAATAGATTGATTCGCATGAAAGGTTTAATACATGGCCCAGCAAGCCCCAGATTTTGCTATTCTTGGATCAGTTCCCTAAGACTAACCTGCCTTACTTCTCTCCTCCCTTGGCTATCGCATCCGACCGAGTAAGTGTTTCTTAACAGGGCTCAAACCTGCAGTTAGTTTGGTTCAAAGTAACACAGCATCAAGGCACTGAACTAGAAAGGGAAAGGCGCACCACTGCCCACTGAGCTGTACACATTGGCTCAAACTGGGTAAATGGGATCCTGTTCTGTGAGTTTGCATTCATGAGGCAAACAAGGAACTTAAGAACATAGCTTGAGACAGCCACTTCTACCGGGTCTAGTCACAAGGAAGCCATGTTAGGGAGCACAGTCCAGTGTTGCCAACCGTCATGATTTTATCACAAGTTGTGTGATGGTCGTTTCTAGCCCTCATGGTTGCAGAGAAAAGCCTGAGAACATGAAGCAAGTGCATCCTAAAGGCTCAGGAATCAGAAGACAAAGAAAAAGAACCTGGAGTAGATTGTCTTAACAAATCTCATGATTTTCAGGAGCTGATTCATGTTTTTTTGAACACTTGCGGCTCATGATCCCAAGTGTCTGTGGTTTTCATTTTATCAACACATATTTGAGTGGGTGCGTTTCTTGTCTCCTGCTGCAACCCAGGGGTCAGTGACTAATATAAAAGACACATGAACCTCCGACAAATCAATTTTGTGCAAGTCGCCAGCTACTAATGCGCTCGGCTAAGGATATCATGGAAACTGGCACCAGATTCTGCTTGAGACAACGAAAACAGAGGAGGTTAAGGAAGTGAGTGACTGGGTAGCAGGACTAGAGTGATTTCAAGGGTGGGAAAAGAGCTCCTCCCTGCCATAGGTTGAGCACAAAATTAATACACATAGGGTAGAAATGCACCCTGTGCAGCGGTCAAGTACGAGGCCTATGTAGCAGCTAAGTCCAATTTGTGCTCTCAGTGGGACTTAAGCAGTGAATAATTCTAGTGCTGGCCTTCTGCACAAAGGTGAATTTGGCCCTAGCTGAGGAAAAACTTATACAGGAGCATAATTAACTCCCTTGCTGGGATGCTGTGAGGCTTAACGTTTCTTTAAATACGTTGAGGTCCTTGGGTAAGGCACTAGAGACCGGCAGCTTTGTTTGATGCCATTAAACATTTACCATAACTTTAAATCCGTGATGATTGAAATCTTCAAACTTAATAAAAAAGAAACAAATCAAGGAAATCGATCAGCCAATCCCACAATGCCTCGTTGCGTCCTGTCCTCCTCCTTTCATCTGAATAAAGGCTGCTTGGCAACAGGAGCCAACACAGGACACAGTAGCACTAGACTGGGAATCAGGACACCTGGACTCCATTCCCAGCTCTGTCACTAGCACCCTGGGCAAGACATTTAATATTTCTGCGACTTGGTTTCCTCATCTGAAAAATGTGAATAATGCTATTGTAATAGGCTGGCAGTGTTTACTCAAAACAGGTTACCCATCCAGCAAGTGTGGATCCTACCAGTAAAGGTTAAGTGGTTACTATTGACTCAGTGTGGAAGGTTGTGTGTTATACCACTGGGACATAAGGGAGGTGAGACTGTCTATAGTGGGGGGGGGGGGGAGAGAGAGAGGGAGATGACCTACGGTGTGGGCTGAGCAATCCTGAGGGAGGACCCCACGGAATAGCCAATCCTGGAGAGAAGGTTTAAGCCGATCATTATTTTACATTTTTGTTAATTCCCCAGTAGGTAAACTTGGGCTTTACCTGTTGTGCATCTACAAGGCAGATTGGAAAATAATCTGGCTCCTCGATATTTATCTTTCTTTATCGAGGGCTTTGAGACCCATAGATGGAATGTGCTACATCAGTGGTAAGTATTGTTACTTCGATTGCAAGGTCTTCTGGGCAGGGACCTTGTTCCCATGCATGTTCTAGAAAGCTCCTAGCACACTGTTGGTGCTGTACGAACAACCCCCTGCGCGCACTATGCGGCTTGATTGGAAATAAATAAATTTCCATGCCTGCGGGAGGTCCGCCGGTCCCGCAGTTTCGGCGGCAATTCAGCGGCGGGTACGCCGAAGGCGCAGGACCGGCGGACCTCCCGCAGGCGTGCCGCCGAAAGCCGCCTGACTGCCGTGCTTGGGGCGTCAAAATACATAGAGCCGCCCCTGCCTGCAGCAGGTAGACTGCAGCAGCCCCATAGAGCCTCCCTCCACGGTTTCAGGGGGGAAGCAATTCCCCTGTGCTGATCAATTGCAGGAACAGGGCTTTACTCTCTTTGTGCCGCATTTCCCCATCTATAAAATAGGACAAACAGTCCTTCCTTCCTCCCAGCCTTTGTCTGCCTTGTCTATCGGCACTGTAAGCTCACTGGGGCAAGGAACGTCCCTCACTCTGTTTGTACAGTGCCTAGCACAAAGGGACCCTGATCTCAACTGGGGTCTTTAGGCAGTACTTTGATACTGATTATTATTATTATTAATAAGCTGATTATCTAAAACTTCTCCCTATTTTATATCCAATTTTCCCTTCACTTTGCAGAGAAGAAAGTACATTTCTGCATCACATGAGACAATAAGAAGAAACCATTATTACAAGAATAGTTTTGTTTGCTAACACTTTCCACAGAATTTTCCTCCAGCACATTCAGTGTGTGGTGACATGATTTCCTAGCACACACGGTTTATCTATCCAGGGTGTTGGTTTGTTTTTGGTTTTCTTTTTAGTTTATCTATTAGCCCAGCGCTGTGCTATCAGGCCTGGATTTAGAATGAGAGTGAAAACAACCTATTAGGTCATCTCAGTCCCTGCTTACCAAGCCAATACAGTCTAGTTCCCTTTAGCATACCTACTTCTACTTCCGTGGGAGCAGGATTGAGCCTGATACAAAGGCAGCTACATCATAAAATCAGTGGGGCAGATTTTGTCAAAATTCAAACCATGA